AAAAGATGTTGCTTTTGAGGATGAGTCTGATGGGTGTGATGAGATTAGGGAGGATGAACTTGATGCCCTAGTTGGTCATGAAAATGATGGTAATGGAGAAGTTGTAGAAAATGATGGTAAAGAAAGTGACAATGACAGTGAGGAAATGCAAAGTGGTTGTGACAGTGATGATAGCAGTGGAGTTGTAAGAAAAAAACATCAAATTTTCAAACAGCCAAAAGACATGTCAGATTACAAGTGGGATGTGGGAATGCACTTTAGTTCAAAGGATGATTTTAGGGAAGCAATAACAACTTATGTTGTTCAAAATGGTAGAGACCTAAAGTTTGTAAAAAATGACAGAGTTAGGGTAAGGGTTAGATGTAAAGTTGGTTGTGAGTGGGAGGCTTATTGTAGCAAGTTGTCAACTGAAGACACTTGGCAACTCAGGAAAGTAATTGATAAACACAGTTGCAGTAGAGAGTATAATGTGAAGCTGATGAGTACAAAGTGGTTGAGTAAAAGAATTCAAAATAGCTTGAAAAACAATCCAAGGTTGAGTATAAAGGATATCAAGGAGAAGGCACAAAAAAAGTGGAATGTTGGGGTCAACAAAACCAAAGCTATAAGAGCAAGATTCACAGCTAGAGACTATGTAGATGGTTCCTTTTTAGGAGATTACACAAGGGTCTATGACTACTGTCATGAACTGTTAAGAGTCAATCCAGGGTCAACAGTTAAGCTCAATGTTGAGCCTGTACAAGTAGGTGTTGAGGATGAAAGACCATATTTTAGAAGGCTTTACATATGTTTTGTCGCGTGTAAGGACATCTTTAAGTTGTGCAGGCATGTAATAGGTCTAGATGGGTGTTTTCTTAAGGGGTTGTGTGGAGGGCAGATACTAGCTGCCATTGGGAGGGATCCTAATGATCAGATGCTTCCCATAGCATATGCAGTTGTGGAGAGTGAAAACAAGGATAGCTAGACTTGGTTTTTAGAGCTGTTAATTGATGATCTTGGAGGCAAAGAAGAATGCCTGACTTACACCTTCATCTCAGACCAACAAAAGGCAAGTTTTTCATTTATTCTTATGGTTTTATGTGTTTATGTGTTTATGTTATGCTATTTCTGTTATGTTATATTGTAATGCTACATTGTATGTTATTGCAGGGTCTGCTACCTACTATGGATGAGTTATTGCCAAGGGTGGAGCACAGGTTTTGTGTTAGGCACCTTTATAACAATTTTAGAAAAAAGTTTCTTGGAAAGATGTTGAAGGACATAATATGGAAGGCTGCCAAGTCAACATACCCACAAGCATGGGAAAAAGATATGAAGGGAATAAGGGCCATTAATGAAGAAGCATTTAAACATATGATGAAGACCCCACCAAGGTTTTGGAGTAGATCTTACTTTAGGACTGAAAACAAATGTGATGTTGTTCTCAACAACATATCTGAGTCCTTTAATAGTGTCATTCTTGAAGCAAGGGCAAAACCTCTAATCACTATGTTATAAGACATCAGAACATACATGATGGAGAGATGGGAAAATAACAGAATGAGATTTGGAACTTTGGATGAGAATAATATTTTGCCCAATATTAGAAAGAAACTTAATGTCACAAGCACATACACCAACAACTGGCTAGTAAGGTATGTCACAGCATGTGAGTAATGTATTTTGTTTGTTTATGACATACATGTGACTAATGTACTTTTGTTTGTTTAATCATTTAGGATGTCTGATGAACATATATTTGAAGTAAGGCACATAGAAAATCAAGCTGACAAGTTTGTTGTGAACCTGAAAGATCAGATGTGTTCATGCAGAAGATGGGAACTCACAGGGCTCCCATGTGTTCATGCTCATTCTGCTATGAAGAGTAGGAATTTCAAAATTGATACTTACATTCCAGATTATTATAGGGTTTCAAGGTACTAGGCAGTTTATAAGCATGTGATCTACCCTGTTAATGGAGCAAACTTGTGGGTTAAGACATCATACCTAGATGTGCAACCACCCAAATTCAGGAAGATGCCGGGTAGACCTAAAAAGAGGAGGAACCTAGAACAAGGTGAAATTGGTGGGTCTGCTCGCAAATTGAGAAGAACATGTTTTCTGGTAAAGTGTAGTAGGTGTAAGAAAGCAGGACATTACAAATCTACTTGTAAGGACACAACATTTCAACAACCTAGCCAATAATCAGCCCAACTCAATCATACTCCAACTCAGACTGCTCAACAACCTAGCCAAAAATCAGCCTAACTCAATCATACTCCAACTCAGACTCCATCTCAGGCTGCTCAACAAACTAGTCAACATACTCCTACTTCAACAACTCAGCCTACTCAACAATCTTGTCAAGCATCTCAGACTTCTAATGGAAAGGCTGCTAAGGGCAAGACACAAAACCTGCCTGTAAGGAAGCCAACAAGACCTTTTGTGCCACCTGGGCCTACAACTAGGTTGAGTGTTGTGAAGAATGTTGTTGGACCAGTAACAAGGAGGTCTACTCCAACAAAGAGGACCACGCCAAAGAATAAACTCTAAGTTGTGGAACATGTGTATTTAGTTACCTAGAACAAGTTTATGTATTCTACTGTTGTCATTTTGGAACAAGTTTATTTACTCTACTGTTGTTGTCATGAACAAGTTTATGTGTTCTACAATTGTTGTACTCTACTGTTGTCATGAACAAGTTTATAATTTGAACATGTTGTACTCTAATGCTGTCATGAACAAGTTCTACAGTTGTTGTATTCTACTGCTGTCATGAACATGTTGTTTTGGAACAAGTATAATCCAAATATAATCCAAACTATTATATGTATCTTGCTGTTATATACTCCAAATATAATCCAAACTAAAAGCAGAACCAACTTATATGTATCCTGCTGTTATATACCAAATATAATCCAAACTGTTATATGTATGCTGCTTTATGTATGCTGCTGTTATATACCAAACTGTTATATACCAAATATAATCCAAACTGTTATATACCAAACATAAAAAAACTGTTATATACCAAACTGTTATATACCAAATATAATCCAAATATATCATTGACAGACCAAAACTGTTATATACCAAACATAAAAAACACTTTGACATGATATAATCCAAAACTGTTATATTCATGTGGATTATGCTTTGACAGACCAAATTAAAACACTTTAATTGTTATATTCATGTGGATTATGCTTTGACAGACCAAATTAAAATACTTTAACTGTTATATTCATGTGGATTATGCTTTGACAGACCAAATTAAAATACTTTAACTGTTATATTCATGTGGATTATGCTTTGACAGACCAAATTAAAACACTTTGACCAAGTTAACATTATCTTTAACTATTATATTCATTCATGTTGAACTGCAAAAACTAAAATTAACTAAACTGATACAATCCATATATTAAAATCCAACTATTACATTCATGTTGAAGTGATACAAACTTTAACTAAACATAAAAACATAATTCTTACCACCAAAACTTAACTTAATTCTTACAAACAAACCATAACATAATACTTCCAAACAAACCGTAATAACCTAACTACTCCTAACAACTAATACAATGATAATCATCACAAATATCAAATTCAAAATCTTTTTCCACTTCATGATATTCTTCATTTCAATTTCAAGTCTCATCAGCTTTTTTCCTAATTCTTCATTCTCCATTGTCGCTTTTTCAATGTCCTTTTTTGCTTCAGCAAGTCCCTTAGTTACCACACCCAACCTATGCATCCAAAATTGTCCCTTCTCATCACCCATCTCCTCATAAAACCAATCAAAGAAGCCACAACCAGCTTGCATACCTCCCTGTAAGTTTCATTGTTTAGAGGATGATGGATAATAAACAGAAACATCAAAAAACAAAAACAGAAACATAACTTAACAGTAGTTGCATACCTTATAATTTGGACAACCCCAAAAAAGTTTTCTCATATTCTTAACAGTAGTTGCCCTTTGAAGAACAACCATGTCTCCACAAAGGCACATGGGCTTCCATCGTGACCGACTACAAACATCTGAATCCCGACTTTTCGATTTTGAAATGGAAGAGGAACATCTGGATTTCATGCTTGCCAAATAAAAAAAACCTATATTACTTTAGGGATTTGGGATTTGGGATTTGAGATTATTTTAGGGATTTCAACGGAAGGAGGAGGGAGAAGGAAGTCACATCATGAACGAGATTGCCATGTCATCTGCCAGATCTACAAAACAAACGGACGGTGCGGGCTAAAATGACACCATTTTAAAATTTAAAGGATCAAGTTGCCACTTTTTAAAGATAAGGGACCAACATGGACCCCGGGTTAAAGCTAAGAGACAAAAAAGGGTATTTTGTAAATAAAAAAGTAGAAAAAGGGAGGGAAATAGTGTTTTTAAAAATATCTCATTAAAAATAAATCATATTTAATATTAAAAAAGAAAATAAATTGTATTGATTAAATAAAATAATAATATGGTTAAATGAATAAACATAAACCTTTAGATTTATAAAAATAAAATAAATGTTTTAATGTTAAAATAAACTTTAACACATGGTGTCATTCTGATTATATATATTTTTAAAAGATTGAAAATAAAGAAAAGTGCTGTGGTTTCTTACTCGGATCCAAAGGTGAAAAATTATATATATATAGATTTATTTTACTCTATTTTTTTAATAACATATTAATAAACCTCTAACCACACATCTAATTATTCTCAATAAAATTTATACTAATTGATATTTGTAATTTTTTTTGTTTGTTTTATATCTACGATGATGAGTAGATTTTAGGGAATAAAATTTTTAAAGAATTGATTTTAAACTTAGTACATTTTTTATATTAAGAATCGATGACATTGCATTTTATTAATAAAATACATTGATATAAAGCTACTATTCTCTTACATTATTGAAAATGAAACTTCATATAAAAACATGCAAAAATAACGTAGAGTACATAAGTTTATTGTTGACATAACTTAACAATAAAAATAAAAATAAGCAATACTAATTCTTGCCGCCAAATGCAGCCTTAAGCTTCTGAATCTGTGCTACATCAAGCAAAGTAGTCTGTGAAAGAATAGCAGTTGATAAATCATTGCCAAATAAGAGCAAATCAAGTGTTTGCACACTAGGATCTGAGCTACTAAAAGCTGCAAATGCAACCGCTTTTTCAGCACCAGTGTTTACTAGAAAATGCAATTGTCCTTTAGGAACAGCTATAACATCACCAGGTTTAGCATCTTTCAAAAACACTTTTGTTGGCGTAATAAATCCAACATTCAATTGACCTTCAACAACGATGATCAACTCAGTTGAATCGGGATGAGAGTGCAATGGCACACTTCCGTTTACGCCCAAGTCTGCTCTTACCGTAGAGATACCAAGTCCATTAAGACCAGGTAATTTATCCACATTTACAAAAGTTATTCCAGTATTGAAAATTTTTGTTGCATTTCCAGCTACAAAGCCAGAAAACACAAAATCATCTACTGTTACATCTTTTTCTGACTTACATGGATATCCTAAAGGAGTTTTGGGAAGTGATAAATCTGCTACACAAAAATCATTGTTAACACAAGTAGCATTGGGGATATATGGTGAGAGAAGAGCAACAAAAAAAAGAATAACGTGAATCATTTTATCTTTTAAAATGGATGTGGGATAAGAAAATAATGAAATTAATTTGCTATTTATAATGATATTCTTACAATGAAGAAATAATCGAGTCAAATAATTAGCATGTATTGTCCCAATGAGGGGATAATGGAATATATACATATATAGTATAGTATTAGCTGGTCAATATTAAAATTCAATCAGTCAACAAAACATCTTTAATTGATTTGAACTTCTTATTATGAATTATATATATAATAGATATTGTTTATTTATTAGGTAATATCTATTATATATATATATATATATATATATATATATATATATATATATATATATATATATATATATATATATATATATATATATATATATATATATATATATATATATATATATATATATAAAATAGATATTGTTACCTAATAAATAAACAATATCTATTATATATATATATATATATATATATATATATATATATATATATATATATATATATATATATATATATATATATATATATATATATATATAAATCATTTTAAATGTTATTTTCTCTTGAGAATATTGTTACCTAATAAATAAACAATATCTATTTTATTAAAAAATAATATTACCTATATCACAAATAAAATTCAGTTTTAATTTCTCATTTTAAATAAATTAAATTATTTATTTATTACTTATCTTTTGTTTTTATTAAAAATATTGAAGAAAGCGAAGTTATTATTGATTATTTAATTTGGTTGATTTATTTATTCGCATTTTAGGGAAATTTTTTGTTTGCAATTTCTACCGTTGTGACCATTTTAAATTAAAACACATTATTGATTTATTATTTAAATATTAAAAATATTAAAGAAAGTGAAGTTATTATTAATTGATCTTACCCGTTGATCAGAATACGAGGTGTGTCAAAGACAAGCGTTTGTGATGCTGGGTGTGAAAGAGGAGGAGCGGATGTACTTGCAAGGCACTCCGATGCTAAAGTAAGAAAACGAGGAAGAGAGAGAGAGAGAGAGCAAGTACATAATATGAGTGTTTCAGGGTGAATATTGGTTACCTGACCCTCTCAAGTAAGAGGGTTTTTATAATGCCCCTAGCGCTTGGCCGTTGGTTCCTATTTTCGGGGCGAGATAACTATTTCCCGAAGAATAGGTAACTGCCATAACTAACCGTTGTGACGGGCATGCATGCCCATAACTAGCCATTGGCACGGGCACAAGCGTCTTGGTTGTTTTTGGATGGTGGAACCGTGCGTGACAGGCAAAGACTAATGAGGATAAGTGTTGAGACCAAGGGTAAATTGGTCAGCCTCCCCTGTTGGAGGGTAAATTGGGCTCAATCAATTGGTTTGTTCTGGGAGCAGAAGTGGATTGGGTCATGCCTAGCCATTGGGTCAGTCTGGAATAGTATCCCCCTAAGTCGTTGCTATCGAGCATGGTAGTGATGACTTAAGGATAGTATGCTTTCCGGGCATAGTCGCCGTAAACTTCCTTGTGTCTGGAGGAATCCTTGTCGGGGCGTATGAAATGTCATTGTCGGGGAGCTTGAGGTTCGGGGAGCCCAACGGTTGATGGGATCTGAAGAGTGGGGGTGCCACTTGTGCCTCGAGCCGTGTGCTGCATTAAATGTGTGATGATGGCTAGGCTAGGGTCATTATGATGCCCTACCCGCGTGTGCTCGTGCACGTGCCTGTCATTTGCCTATAAATAGTGAGAGGTTCCGTCCATTCATAACTTTTGCTTCTCCCTCCTCTTGCTCATTGTTTATCATTCTCCGCTGCTTGCTGCCTTCAAGTTTTACTCCGGCCACCGTATGACATCCGACCAGAGCTACTCAAGTTCATAACTTCTTCTTTGACCAAGTAAGCATGTTGATTCCTTGATTACTCTTTGTTTTTATGGTTTGATGTTGTATAATGCATGAGGTTAGGACTGAAACAAAGTAGTTATAGGGCGTTTTTATGGTGGCTGCTGGCGGCAGACGGTGGCACGACCATTTTCTCTACTGTCGGCGCTGTAGTGGTTATTTTTAGGAAAGAGCAAGTTAGCAAGCCATAGGTTTTAGTTGATCCCGGAGCAGCAACGACACGGTGGTGTTCGCTGCCGGAGGGGGCCATGGACTCTGGTGGTTCCCTCATGAGAGTTCTGGGTTTTTTGCACGGGGATCTTTCCCTGAACGTCTTGGGGAGGACCCTCGGGCACTAATATCATTTAGTTGTGCCATTTGAGTAGGGTTTAGTTCAAGGATTATGTCTTTGGCCCTTTGCGCGCCCTTTCACTTGACTAGAAGTGGAAGGGTGGATTTGATTTTGTCATCGAATTCACTTTTTTCCTCTGCTTTTCAAGTAAAAGCGATGTCACGCAGGTCTTACGAGGACGAACACCCCAGAGATTTGTCTGGGGATAGCTTCTCGGAGGATACTGAAATAGACGATGACTCCTCGTCCCCTGATGCTAGAGGGATGACTACCGCGAGGACATCGGCCGATGATTGGACCTTAGTTGAGCCAATAGAGCATTCCTCGCTCTTTGCTTCATACACCAGAGACGTGTTTACTATGGTAGGGCCGGAGGGAGAGTGGAGGGTCCACTTCTCCTTAGAGGACGAACGTATATGTTCTGCGTACGAGGAGATATTTCCCATGTACGAATATGTTTTTAAAGAGATAGGGATAAGGTTTCCCTTCACGGACTTTCAACGAGCAGTCTTCATTCATCTTGACTTGGCGCCTTCTCAACTGCACCCAAATTCCACTGCCTCCATGCGGGCGTATGAATAGGTGTGCGAATACTTGCAGATCGGGGCTACCTTTCTGCTCTTCTTCCCCATCTTTCATCTTCAACGACAGGTGTCGGGGAGGAACTTCGGTTGGGTTTCCTTGAAACAGGGAAGAAAACTGTTAAAGAGAGATTTTATGTGATCGAGTCGGTGTCGGAGAAAGCTATTGACTCGACCTTTGTGTGGGAGGTCTCAACGGACGAAAACGAGGAGTACCTGATAGATGGGGAGGGTAAAATAATTGCCCAGAGGTTGTTTACATTCCCCTTCTGCCGGAGTGGGGCTCACTTTACCCGTTGGACTGATGAGTATATAGTTACTCCTCATCAGTTGGTCAATGATGATCGAGCCAGCTATGTCAAGCTAGTGGCCTTTGTGGATGGCTTTCTTCCTGTTCAGTGCGTGAGGAAGATGGATGGCTACAAGTGGAAGCCCGATATATTAATACTAAAGAGCTCCTCAAGTGTAGCACTCGCGAGGAGGCTCTCAAATTTTTGGGTAGCTTCTCGCTTTTTCTTACTTCATTCGAGATGTTTTTCTTTCCATGTGCTCGCTATTTTTGCAGGTAAAATATCTTCGGCGCAGGAGAGGATAGTAACTCACGCCCAATGAAAGATGAAGGGAGGCGCTGCCCTGGGAAGAAGTCGCCTTGGTCAACAAACGACTCCCCTGCAGACAGGGTCGGGGACTTCATCGTCAACTCCTTCAGCCACTCCGACATCCCCTTTGCCCGTGAGCTCGAGGCCTAAGCACGCCTGCATGGGTGAAATTGTGGACCTCAGCCGGGAGTCCGTCAAAAGAAAGTTTGAGCTGCCTCCCTGCCTGCATAATAAGAAGTTCTTCGAGAGGTCCTCCCTATCCATTCCTCGGGCAGAATCTCTAAAACTTAAGGAAATGGACCGCCCCAGCAAGCAGGTCATGCTTGCGCATGATGCCTTTGCCTTGATGAGGATCTTGGAGATGATCGTGGTATACACCGAGGACGGGTCTCCGCTTGAGCTCGAGCTAAAGAAATACCAAGCTGCAATGGTGGCTATAGAAGAAAAGGTCAAGAAGCTTCAGGAGGAGCGGGATAAGGAGCTCGAAGAGGCTACACGGAAGGGTCGCGAGGAGATGACCACTGAGAGGGACACCCTGGCTTCCCAGAAGAAACTCGCCAAGGACTTAGTGGAGAAACTAAAAGTCGTTGCTGCCCCTGCTGAAAATGAGCCTGAGGAGACGAAGAAGTTGTTGACTCGGGCAGAGCTGGTTGCCCGAGTGACTCAAGACGGGGACGACCTTGTGGCTATCAGTGAGAAGGATTTTCATAACACCGTGGACCAATTAAAGCTGGTGAACCTTGGTGTCAAGCTGACTACCGAAGGCATAGAGTTCCTTTATACTGTCAATAAAGGCAAGATAGTCGCCCCTGAGTTCCTCCTATTCGGTGAAGGTGGCGAAGGGTAGGGGCAAGTGACCCAAGAGGAGGCTCAACAAGAGGAGCACTGAACCTTTACTAGTCTGTGCTTTGGCCTGCGTGCCATTTGATCAACTTGTTATTTTCTTGTAATTTTATTTTGTAGGGCTTGACCCCTTTTTATTGTATCACGCACAGTTACGGCCCTTCATGGTTGTTTTATGTAACATGTATCAGTATGTTGTATGTTTATATCTTGTCTAATATTTTCTACGTGTCTTGCACCATCCAATGCGGTCGTAAGAGGCACTTAGTAATTTGTTATGTTCCGGGTATGCTCGATGGATGATGTTTGATAGTGCGGGGAACTGACCGAAAAGCCTGGGTTGTTTTTGGGCAGGGTGGAGCTCAGGCCATGATTGTGGCTTGAGTTTGCAACGTGAACTTCCCATCGCGAGTTGAGGGTTCTCCCGTTCATGGTACTTTGACAACGGCGGGCTCGGTCGAGGAACCGCCGTCGAGCATGCGTTGAGTCTCTTAGACTGAACCTTTCTTAGATTTGTGTTAGTGGCGCAACGCTTGTACCTAGGTGCTAGTACCTTAGCTGTAATATTGTTTCAGCTTTTCGGCGTTCCATGGTCGAGCTAATTCTTCCTCGGTAAGGTATTCTAGATAGTAGGCCCCGTTCTCTGTTTTTGCTCTAACGCGGTAGGGTCCTTCCCAGTTTGCGGCGAGCTTGCCCTCGCGGGAATCTTTGTGATTCCTCCTTAGGAAGAGGCTACCCACTTGAAATTCTCGTCGGATAACCTTGGCGTTGTGCCTGATTATGATTTTTTGTTTA